GAACCAGCTGACAGACTATATAAACTACTACAGTATGTGGGTTTCTCTTCAATTTGGGTGGGTTATTGTGATCTCTGTGACCTACCTGAAGGCAGACCTGTCATCCAGTACTTTGCCTCTTGTAGAAGAGTATACAAACTCACAAACTGCATTATGGTAACCAGTTGTAAATGTCTGGTTTAGCCTGGACTGTTTTGTGGAATAATTTTTAATGCTTTACGGCAAAGGACAGAATCTTCTACTGATATCTCATTAGAACATCAGTCTTCAGGAGTGGGTTAAATAGAAGGGAATTAAGGAGCTTAGTTAGCTCTCTACAGCTCCTGAGTAGGATGGCTGTGCTGTTGAAAGGGATTTAAAGATAAATTAATTTTTTTCTTTTTTTTTTCCTTGCATTTTAATTATTTGAATGAAAAACTTCATAAATCCTTAAGGTTTTGGTGGTGTGCACTGAGTGTTTCAAGAGCATTTGCAGTTGGCACTGCCGCATAGCACATGCAAAACCTGTTTTTATTTAAAAGAGAAAATGGTTAAGGTTGATTGGGAAATAATATTTTTCACTCAAAAAATTGTACTTAGTCTACAAATATTTGGTTTCTAAATTAGTGGAGTTCTATCACCAGTGCAGCAATTTCAACCACAGCTAGAGTTGCCAGTTTGAACACAGAGGAAAGACTAGACCTCAGCTTTCAAACCACATTCATGCTCGAGGCCAGCATTATTGTAAAGGAGTTATCTGACAGATGCAGGGCACTGTGTGAAATATGTCTCCATGTGGCTTTTAGATAACCATATTGTCAGATAACATCTATTATGTCAACTCCTGATACAACTTAATCCGAAAGTATGTCACAGGGTAAACACTGTACATATGTTAAATACTACCTGATCAAACGCATTCCTACCAGCTACGTTGTTAAACTTCTCTTGCATTGCTGGAACTTATGTTGCCAAATGTCAGTTGATATACTTTATGGATTGGTTCAAGTGGGCCAAAGAAAAAAAAAAGGTGCTGGTATTTTTGGGAGCAGGGAGAAGAGTAAGAGTGAAAATGCTTTGTGAATGTACAATACCCTTTTGTCGCAACAGGTTCTGGGGAAGAAGCTGAAGCTTAACGCTTTTCCTCCTTCTGCTAGTTGTTATACCAAATCAAGCTGAGCATTTGAATTGCCTTTCCTTGCACCTTACTCCAGCATTTAAGTGTTTGTGGCAAAGTGGTAAAATTGCATTTTGTCTCCTGTGCAAAATGGAAGATAGGATCTTCTAGGTTTAATAGTAGGTCACCAATGGCATACAGTAAAAGCCTTTAAAAACAATTCTACATTAACTGGTGCTTATCAGAAGACTGCACAGTACTATTATTTTTAAAATTACAACAGTTTTGAGTAGAACTAATGAGATTATCTTTCCACTTGAGGTAAGATTTAGGGATATCTAATGGCAATTATGTCAAACACTACTATTTTTGTCTTTTGCATTGCACTTCTTAGTTGGACTCTGAATGTAGCTATTTCAACAGTACTAGTTACTCATTATTTCCTTTTGGAAAGGGGGAAAACCAGCAACTGACATGGAGGATCCTGATTTTTTCAGCATGTATTGTCAAAACAGCCAGTTTAACAGATCAGTCC